GGGAGCCAGTTTTCTTTTGTGGAGGGTGGAGGACAGGGATGTCAGAAGAAGGAAGAGGCAAGCGAAGATGAATCCAGGGTTACACATGTTGAGTTCAGACAGCTTTTAAGGTCGTTAAAACTGGAGAGCTGAATCTTTATTTTAGAAAGAGGCGTTGACATGTTGTGTATTAATTTGGGGGAAGAAGACTAGACTGGGCTGATGGCCTGCAGTATGCCAGAGCAAAGAAGGAAATTATACAAACTGCACGACCTTCGTTTTCCTCTTTAAGGAAAAAAATCAAGAGAGAAACACATGTGTGAAAGATGTGTGGACATCATGCATCGGAGTTTGATCGTGCCTAGCAGTCAGAAGGGCTGCACAGAGAACACCCAGAGCCCAGACAGCTCTCAGTTTCTGTTGCGGCAGTGGCCAAAGGTCAGGAACAAGGCAGCCCTCACTATGCACAAGCAAGGCTGAGTGAGCTCTCTGGATATGCCATATGCACACACACGCACAGACACACAGTGGAAAGTTAAAACATCAAATTCAGAAAACTTGTTACTTCCTAGGAGGATAGGAAGACAAATATGGGAGAGATACTTTGAGGGCTCCAACTGTATTTGTAATGCTTTATGTTCTTAAGTTGGATATCAGATGGATAGGTGTTTATTATGTTGTCATCTACAGAGTTTGTATGCAGGAAATAAAATGGTTCTATACCTATGTACTTTTAAATTTTTAAATGAAGAGAGTACAGTCTATTTTAGAAATGATGAGCTTGAGGAGGTATTGGGGCACTTGTGAAAAGGGAAAGCAGATATGGAGGGGATCCTTTGCTGCCTGCATTTGCCCCAGCTAGCAGACAGACTGCCAACCCCCAAGCACCAAGTAGGGATCCCCAAAAAGAGCTGGATAAGGGAAGAAGAACAGCCTTAAGCACCTCCCTGGAGGGCACCCACCACAGAAGTGTCAGTAAAGTAACACCAGCAGAGAAAAAGATAGAGGGACAGATGGGTTGCTAAAACAAAAGCAAAGGAAATGCAATGTCTTAGGTTCCTGGGGAGAAAGAAACACGGGTAAGAAAGCAATCGCCTGTGAGTGGCAGCAAGTGAGAAAGTTAGAAAGAGAAGACAGTGTGACTTGTCCAGAAAAATATTTGTATTGACTTTGGCAGGAAGAAACTTAGCAGTACCAAAAAAGCAATTTCTGTGAAGGAAGTTCTTCCAGACATGAACACTTACTGGGATTGAAGTTGCCCTCTCACCGGTAAACAACTAGAAAATTGGGCAAAATGTATGAGACAGCTGTTTTCTTTAGACAACACACAGTGCAGGATTGGGATCCCTCAAAGAAGAGAAAACAAATGAAGTGATCTCTGCTGCATTCCTGGATCTCTGCCTGGGGCAATTTGCAGGCCACATGGTAGGGAATCCAAGTAGACAGGACAAGGCCTTGCTGAGGTGAGGAGAAAAATGCCAGAGGTTGTAAAGCAGAGTACCAAGGGGAGGTGTGCAGAGGAGGAGCTCCAGAAATCCTGAGCCCCTTGAGTGTTTTTTTTTAAATATAAAAATTTATTACTAATGTCTTCATCTTCAAAATTTATGATCTCGGTCTTTCCTTCTTGCCTTTGAAGAGAGCCAACAGAGACACTGGCTTCTTTAACAAACTTAAAGCAGATTCCAGGAATGTCACCAGCAGCATGACTTTTGTGGCCGAATCATTGTTTTCCTGGATAAGGTTCAAGCACCCATCATTAGGGACAAAAGCTGTGATTTTTCTTGCCATTCTCGATGCACTTCCTGATGGCACAGTTTGACTGTGTGGCTTCAACCTGAACTTTTTCCAGCTCGATTCTATCTGCATGGGAAGCATCTCCAAAAGGGTTGCCCTTCAGGACTGCCCAGATGGGCCTTCTTGTGTTGCTTATCACGCCACGTCTGGTCCCACTGGTGACTGCAGAACTCTCTGGCGATATGAAGACTGCAACACTTGCCCATCCTGCCAGTATGCGTGGGCCAAGCAAAAGAGTGAGACACCTGTTTGAGTCTGAGGCCGAACCCTAAGCTAAATCAGGCGCAGCTGAATGAGACCAGGCACAGACAATTCCTAGGAAACTAACCTAAGGCCTTTAGTGAGCTCCAGTAGTGCTGGAAAACAATCACGTTCCGACTAAACAGAACAGAAAGATCTTGAACTTTTGTGACATTCAGAAGAGACCCCAGGGGGACCTTGCCTATGTCGTAGAGCTAAATTGCCCCTGAAGTAAAGGCTACATTATATCATCCCTTAAACATCTGAAAATCAGGGCCAGGGATTTAGCTCAGTGGTGCCGCTGCCCTCCTCGCAAGCACAGTTCAATCTCCGGTACCAAAAAAATCTTAAAATCAAGCTTTGAAAAGATCAAACTAAGTTGCAAATAACTTCATTGCCCAAACACCAACCACCATAGGAATAAAAAGTCCAATGTCCAATAAAAAATTATTAGACCTCCAAAGAAGGGGGTAGGAATGTGGTTTCTAAACAAAACAACAACAGTCAATACAAACAGACCAGAAAGGATGAAGAATGTGTTATCACACTGTGTCATCAGAGTGACCAGAACATACCAATACTATTATAAATGTGCTCAAGACTGTGAAGGAAACCATGAAAGTGCGAGAGTTAAATAGAAATTCTAAAAAAATAACCAGATGGAACTTTTGGAGCTGAAAATGTCAATATATCTACACTCGATCTTAGCCAAAAGGCCGAGATGCTAAATATCAATGTATCTGACGTGAAAGATTCACTGAATGGACAACAAAAAGAAAAGATCAATGGACTTGAAAATACACCAGGAGAAACTATCCAGACTGCAGTGAGGAAATACTGAAAATAATGAATTAACAGACCCACAGTGACCCATGAGAATAGGACAAATTAACACAGTTTGGTTGGAATCCCAAAGGTCGGCAGGGAAAGCAGAAGAAATATTTGAAGAAATACTGACAACATTTTCCAAACTTGATGAAAGCTATATTCCCATAAATTTAAGAAATTCCACAAACCTCAAATAGGATACAAATCAGTCAAGACAGAAAGTGCATTCTGGAGGCTGGGGCATGACTCAGTGGTTGGTTGCTTGCCTTTGATCCCCAGCACGCACACACACACACACACACACACACACACACACACACACACATACACACACAAAAGTGCATTCAGAATTTTCTCAATAATGGAGTGATTTCATGACTGGCACTAGTCCAGTAAGGAAAGGGAAAGTTCTGCAAAATATAGGGAACTGTACAACTTGTGATATGGAAAAATAGAAACCAGCCTAGGAGGCACAAACACGGAAGGATAATAGAGAATAAGAGGTGGGCCATCGGGGGAACCAAATACGGGAAGGTGCAGACAAACCGCAAATTAAGAAGAGAGACTCATGGGAATAAAGGAGGCGGGAGCGGCACCTCCAGTTTCACCCTTTTCTTTTTGTCCCCTTGTTCTCATACCTCATTTTGGACAGCACACACCTCACAACTGGACTCAAAGTTCCGTCCTTTCCCCTACACCACCTACGCTGCAGTCCATTGCTGTCCTGGTGACCTTTCTTAAGGCCACTGCCCGACATCTTTAGAGAAATGGGTGCGCCACGGAAGACTGCCACAGAGGTGGACCGTGCGTCTCCGCTGTTAACCAGATGTGGGTTTGGTCCTCAGCTTCTCAGGTCCCCTCCCGGCCTGTCTGTTGGGAGAGGACCTTTATCGAGCCCACATATCGGTGTATCTCAAAAGCATGACTCTCTTCTTTTGCTTCCAAGTAGACCCTTATCTGCCCTCTCAGCCTCTTACTGGGCTAGCGTCCTGGTTGTTGAAGACTGACATTGGCTCTCTTAACCCCAGTCCATAGACATCGGTCCTGGGAGGCCACAAAAATATCTTCTTGCAGCCAGAGGCCCGTGCTTGAGAGGCAGTGAAGTGTTGCCAAAGGCCTAGTGGACTTAGAGTCAGACTTCAATCAATGCTGATTCTGCTACAGAGGGACCGTCCAGGGCTCCGCTTCTGACACTAACCAAAGGCGGCCCTTGAGCTTGTGAAAAGTAGCTAAAGCAACCGAATAACCGCATTTTAAATTTTATTTAATTTTAATTAAATTTAATTTTAGTTTAACACCTGAAACAATCATTTTCCCATTAAACATATTGTGGAAAATATTGTAATGCCTGTGTCGAGTGCATGCAGAGTTTCTAGTTGTCTACACATAAACACATTTCTGATCTTGCTGACGTTAATGGATTGATTGGTTTGCATGAGTTATCTTGCCAGCATAGCAGTTTAACATACTTACCTGAATATTGTATTCAGATAATGCAAGTTAGTGTGACTTATGTGAGTCAAAAATTGGTGATAAAATTTAACTGCTTATTTAAATTTTGGATATTATAAAATAAAGTATGTTCCTATCCAAAAAATAAGTATGGAAAAGCTTTAATACTTAAGATGAAGGAATTGAATAGAGATACAGATGCTAATAAATACCATCACTGTCATAGTAAAGAATAGATACTGAAAGAAGGCAAATCATAAATACAAAACCAACAGATCCGTGTTTGAATGTCCCCTTCAAAATTCACATTGAAATTTAATTGCCACTGTGATAGTATTGGGAGGTTGGGCCTTTACATTGTTCCTCTTCCTCCTCTTCCTCTTCTCCCTCCTCCTCTTCCTCCTCCTTCTCCTTCTTTTCCTTCTTTTGATAGGGTTGGCTACATAGCCCAGGCTGGTCTTGAACTTACCCAGTAACCCAGGCTTGGCGTCAAACTCGGAACTCATGGAAACCCTCTGCCTCAGCCTCCCAAGTTCTGGTATAACAGGTGTGTGCCTCCGCACATGACAGGACCTTTATATCTGTTATGGGAGTGGATCTCAGGAGTATCTTCGTTATAAAAGCAGTCTCTCTAAGGGAAAACTCACTCTCTCTCTCTCTCTCTCTCTCTCTTTCTCTCTCCTCCTTTTCTTTATCCAGGAAGAAGAACCAGATAGGAGCCATCAGGGTACTGCAATTCCTGATTCTGCAGAGATATTAATCACATGTAATGGGAACTCCAGTGGTCATGTTCTGATCTGCCTGCCAGAAGGAGGAACAGGTAAGAAGCACCACACCTAATCATGAGTGTTCTCTTGTTCCCAGTCCCTCTCTTTGTTGATAACAGATGTTGGTGCCATGCTCTCCCAAGCTGTGAGAAATAAATTTCTTTATAAATTTCCTAGTCTGTGATATTCTGTTACAGAAGCAAAACAAAAACAAAACAACAAAAAACCAAAACCAAAACAAAAAACAGACTAAGACAAATGGCAAGGGTAAATTTTTTTTTAGTTTAAAAATAAAGTGGACAACTGCAGGTGATATTTTCAGCTAATGCGTAGTGAATTTGATAAGAAGTTTTCTCTCAATAGCTAAGAGAATCAATATTAGTTGCCTAAATTGATAATTAAATATCCAACAACTTTTTAAAAAATTTTTGAGCAGGATTTGAGCTTATAATGTTAGCCAATTATGTATAAGAAAACTTGGGTTCTTGTGTAAAAAAAGACAACCATTTTTAAATGGAAAAATAGTCAAAGAAATACTATTTTAGTTATGGAAATTCTGTTGGAAAAGTATAAGAAAAAAGTTGAAAGATATTTTACAAATAGTGAAAGCTTGGCATAGCCATTATGGAAAACAGTTTGGAGGTTCCTCAAAAAATTAAAAGTAGAACTACCATATGGTCCTGCAGTCTCACTTCTGGGTATACATCCAAGGAAATGAAGAGATATCTGGACACCTTTCATTGCAGCAGGATTCATAATAGACAAGATGTAGAAAGAGCCTAATGCCTGTGTGAATGGATAAAGAAAATGTGATTATATATCATATAAAATATATATATATATATATATATATATGTGTGTGTATACATATATATTTCAGCCTGAAAAAAGACTGAAATCTTGCCACTGGCCAAGTTGGAGGACGTTATGCTGAGTGAAATAAGCTAGACACACAGAGACAAATAGTGCATGATCTCACTTATCTGTTTGATCTAAAAAAGTTAAACTCAGAACAGAGGAGATTGGTGGTTACTAGGGGTTGGGTATAAGACGAATGGAGAGATATTGGTGAGAAGGCACAGACTTTCATTTATAAGATGATTAAATTCTCCCAGGCGTGGTGGAGCATGCCTGTAATCCCAGCACTCAGGAGGCTGAGGCAGGAGGATCGCTGTGAGTTCGAGACCAGCCTGGGCTACATAGTGAGTTCCAGGTCAGTCTCAACTACATAGTGAGACCCTGTCTCAAAAAAAAGATGATTAAATTCTGGAGATTTGATGTACAGCATGATGACTATAATTAATAATGTATCGTATACTTGAAATTTGCTAACAGTAGATCTTAAGTAGTCTCACCCCCCCCACACACACACATAAACACACACACACACACACACACACACACGGGGAGAAAGAGAGAGAGGCAGAGACAGAGCAAGGGCAAGTTAGTGGGGTGATGAATATGTTACTTATTTGGTAATCACTTCACAATGTATATCAAATCATCACATCATACATCTTGAAAATATACAATTTGTATTTGTCAACCATACCTCAATACAGATGGAGAGGAAAATTGAATGCTTTTTTCTCAAGCAACCAAGCAATTGTCCATTGAATGCAAAATCTTTTTTTCTTTCTTCCTTTTTTTTTCAGACACAGTCTCACTGTGTCAGTCAGACTGGCCTTGAACTATGTAGCCCCAGGCTGGTCTTGAACTCACAGTGATCCTCCTGCCTCAGCCTCCCAAGTGGCAGTATTACAGATGTGCACCACTGTGCCCAGCTGCAAAATCTTCCTAACAATATCAAAGTTCAGTTGATTCCAGGTTTGAAAATGTGTAGGGATTTGCTCGCTGAGTTAGGTGGTGTAGGAGATATTGCTCAATTAATACTTGGAATGTGTTTTGTCTGAAAAGACTTTTTTTTCTAATTAATTTTCTTGAAAGTGTTTTCATTTTGCAGGCTGAAAACTGAACTCATCCGTGTAGATATTTTTGTTTTTTACACCGGTCAAAATCTTCAGCCTAACTTGAAAAACAAAGCTTCCATCACAAGGGAGGTATTCTAACTAAGTTACAAGCCTGGATTTCTTGTAATTTTAAAGCAACTCCCCCCAAAAAAAGACCCTGGTCTTTTGTCTATTGCTTTGATCCTCTTGAAGATTCATACTAAAGACATTTGTATTCAGACTTTTTAAAAGTGTCATAGATATGGTTGTTAAAATTGTTTTCTAGGCATGCAAGTGCTATGAATCATCCCCTTGTGGAACTGTAAAAGGAAATAGAAGAAAATTCGTGTAATGATCTTGTGCTCTTTGCTGTTTGCTCGTTAAATCATGGATGATTTTGACAAAGATTTATTATACCGTTACTTCTTATTGAAGATTTTCTTTAAACAAAAGGAGTATTTGCCAAATATTCAATAATCAAAGACAGCAGTGTAATTCATGTTTTCTCACTAGACTCACGCTGCATCCGAACGAGCTAAATTTGAAGCTCTGAAAAGGGAAGGAAAAGCCTGTTGGTGACCTAGCCTGACAGAGACAAGAATTTTTGTAGAGATTGAAACTTTTAATGATATGAATTGGTAACAATGTTACACATTTTAGTATTTTCTTTTTTCATTTTTCGGTACCGGGGATTGAACTCAAGGCTTCACGCTTGCTAGGCAGGTGCTGTGCTGCTGAGCTTCATTGCCAGCTTCAATATTACACATTTTAAAATCACGACGGAGGGCTGGGGATGTGGCTCCGTGGTGCCACCACCTGCTTTGCAAGCGCAAGGTCCCGAGTTCAATCCCTGGTACCAAACAAAACACGACTTAATGTGCAGATGTTCACTGTAGACAAGAGCATTATACAGATTACTTGCAAAGACTAAAAAAAAAGTAGGAAGGACACATTAGTCCCATAGTACTGCAGAATTTATTATTGCTGTCTAGCTTATACAACACACCCTTGAATTCAGTGTTAATAATACTGACTGGAGCCAGGTGTGGGTGGTCCCAGCACTCAGGAGGCTGAGGCAGGAGGATCCCTGTGAGTTCGACCAGCCTGGGCTACATAGTGAGCTCCAGGTCAGTTTCAACTATATAGTGAGATCCTGTCTCAAAAAACAAAAAATAAAAACAAAAACAAAATAATACTGACTTGATCCAAAAGTTAATGAATTCCTTCAATATAATTTTTAAATGGATAGGGTTTTGCTTCAAAGTCAAGCCAGTTCTAAAATCCAGTAACTAGATCTGACAAAATGGATGCAAATATTGAGATAAGAAAATTATTTTTGGTGCTCAACTCACTTACTGGAAAACTTTTAAGTATACTTGAAATAAACTGGGTAGGTGAATGTACTTTTTCAACTATAAGTTTTGTGAAATATAACTACAGATCAAGCATTTCTAAAAACCTAGTATTTGAACTAAAATATCCTTTAAGATTAAAAATACACACTGGATTTAGAAGATTTCACATAAAAAGAATGTAAGATATGTGATTAATAGTTTTTATATTGGTTACATGTTGAAATGATAACATTTGGGTAATTCTGCTAAATAAAATATACTATTAAAATGAATTTACTGTAAAGGTGCAAAGATGAGTGTCATTATATTGCATACGTTAGAAGTACCAATAAAATTCATTTTTTTGAAAAAGTGAATTTTACCTGTTTCTTTTTACTTTTTAATATGGATGGATAATAGAACATTTAAAAGTACATATGTGGCTCACATTATATATGTGTTGGCTGCTTTGCTCTAGAGTAGAGAGAGGTCTGAAAGTAAATGACCCGAATTCAGGAGTCTAGTCCAGTGGTGACAGCCCTAGGCACACATGCGTCAAAGGGCTGTTTGTTATCATGGGCAGCTCCAGGAGGTTCGCCATCACTGGTCTAGTCTATGTGTATACTGGGAAAGTTTTCAAAACATATCCATTCTTCAATTTCTCTCACCTAAAGATGGAGATAATAATAATTCTTACCTCATAGGGTTGTTTTAAGAACTTTAGACTGGGTGTGGTGATGCATACCTATAATCCCATTCTGGGAGGCTGAGGCAAGAGTCCAGTAAGTTTGGCTTCAGCCTGGGCAGTTTAGTGACTTAGTGAGACCCTGGCTCAAACCAAGAAATGGAAAAAAAACATATAAACAAACAAAAAACCAAAAACTGAGGATGTAATGCAGTGCAAAGGCCCTGTGTTCAATCCTTATTACGGGAAGGAAGAAAGAAACAAACAAAGGGACAAGGAAAGAAGAAAGAAAACAAGAAAAGAGAGAGAAGGAAGGAAAAAAGGGAGAGAGAGAAAAGAAAGGAAGGGAGAGAATACTTAGTGGGGCACACAGTAAATACCATGTGTAATTGCTATTATTATTATCATCATCATCATCATCACCATTATTATATAATCTTGAGAAGTTCCTTAACCATTAATTAGCTCAAGGGTGAAATGGCGATGGTGATACCATGTATCTCACAATATCACTTCTTGGATTATATGAGATAATGTAAGCAAGACTGCCTCTGGGAGGTAGGAGTGCCCCCCACACACACTGGGGGAATCTTGCCCACAGTAGCTGCTGTTTGTCTCTGTAACCTGGCTCAGCTCACCACTCTTCAATAGCGCATGTGTGAACAAAGTAGTAAACCACGGTTATTAAACACTATTTTGTATCCTTCTCCAACTGTGCGGTTCCTCTCATGTTGCCTGAGCTTGCCTTGCTGGGAGTCCCCCTAGCTCCCTTTCCTACCACCTGGACTGAAGGCCCATTTGTCTGCGAGGCCCTTGCTGTGGACTCCAGCCCGTGCCGTCTCTCTCCCCACTGAATTCTTGAAACATTTCCTACCTATCACAGCGACCTGGCATTTAACCCTATGCTACCTCGTGTTGTTGTTTATAGAATTTCATGTGTGCCTCTCTGCTCAGGTTAGGGTGAATGATTTGGGACTTGCAAATACCTCAATGACACATGGTAAGTGCTTAAAAAAATTAGCTAGCAAGTGGGAACATTTGGAAAAACTAAGAGAAAAGAAAAGAATTGGACCTGGGAGATCCCAGTATCCTCTACAAAGAATTAGGG